CAAACGGTAAGATAGTTGTTAAATAAGTTGAATATTTGTAGGTTCAGTTTACAGCAAGTTACGCGAAGTGACTAATCCCTATGGACGCTATGCTTAGGTCAATGCCAACATGCCACATCCCCAATCTTATTGAGTTGCGTTACAATCAACTCTATCTCAGTCCAATTAAAACCTGTAACTCAACACGCAAATTCAGTGCTAACGTAAATCCTTATTTAAACCTCAGACTAGTAATACTAGTCTGAGTTTAAACTCAAGTTCATTAACCTTTACGGAAGTCGCTCTCCAATCAAAGTAATTTTCAAGTCAGTCCAAAATAAGTAGTGCCTGGTCTAGCAGAGAGCATTTCAGCATACCAGATTGTCTGTGTGTCAGTACGTTTTGAATTTTCTGTGATTTTTTTTGCTTCGACCGACTTTGTTCAAACTTGATGAACTGGTCAAACTTTTACTGTAGTTTTTTGGGAAAATGGCAATATCTTGTCCTATCGTTGCCATGGTAACACCAAATAAAGTTTGCGTGGATCAACAGTCAACTTACCGGCCTGTATAGTTGAAGCAGATAAAATATAGACACTGAATAATCTATGACATAGCAGTTCAATGTAATTATGACGTAATCCTTCAATTTAGACAACCATTGACAACCGGGGAACGCAGATTTACGCGTGTTTCATTTGAGATACAATTTATGGAAAAAAACGAGCAATGTATGTAAATTATTAAGACACCTGCAGAGGTCCGACACTAAACAGTATCCTGGAACAATTTATATACGTGTTTTTGCGCCCAGACAAAATAGATATGAGATCCGTTGTCTTTGGACGTTCATTCGCTCACTATTGATACAAACATCTACAAAACCACCAGACTGGTTGCGTTGAAATCCAAAAGATATTTTCCATTAGATTTTAATTTCAGTGAATGTACCCTCCCCCACAAATGAGTAAGTGCCCAGTGTTAACAGAAGCGAAAGCCAAGTAAACCAAAAACAAACAGAAAACGATGTAATTTAGTGTCGAGATTATTGACACAAGAATAAATATTTCCCATTAGCAATCGAAACACAATATTTAAAACTACTGCAATGAAACAATGACAACTTAACGGTATATATAGTAACAACGAAACAGTTAAGAGATATAAATAAAATGAATATCACAATAACTATCGTAATAATAACCTAAAAAATAATCTGATGTATACTAAACATTGCAACTGAATAGTACCAAAATAAAAATGACATCGAGCTATTTTTTGAGGTATCGTCATTGCATAGGCGTCAACCCATTTTGTAGTTTAATTATTGACTTATAAAAGCTGAAGTTGTGACAGGAATTGTTGTTGCCAAGTCAATTATTGTTTCCTCATTCATTCCACCAACAGCTGAATCATTCAAAGTTTACTTCCACTCTACGGTAGTGTAGAACTTGCATCTAATCTATGTACATATACGAGAAATATAAATATCGTTAGCAGTTGTCGTGACAAAATGCTGTTTCCAGGAAACTCATAAACGGACATTTATGTGGTCAGAATTAAACCCCTTGAGACATAAGTATTTTTAGTCTGCTGTTTGTAAGAAATATATATAATATAATGCCAAAAATATAACACTTGTGCAATACGTTTACCCGACAATTTGCGTTGTTTGAAACATGGTCATAAAAATAGGATATTGTTGATTTTCTGGTTCTTATTTTAGTCAGACACCTTGTTATTTTAGACTCGTACACATGTATTTGCAAATACTCATTCACTTAAATAGTGCAGAATATCCAAATACGAACAACTGTTTTTAATACTAACCCAATTATAATCACGAATTGTACCACAGCACATTTTAAAGGAAGCTAAATGTTTACTTGATCAGCGAGAGCGGTTGTTAAAGTCTTAGTGTAAACGTGGAAGTGTGTTACACAATGACTACCACTGGAGAATCATTTACTTCGTTAACTCGTTTGAGCGCCATTTTCGGGACTAAGTTGAAAAATCTAAATTAAAAATGTGTCTCAGGAATACCAATCAATGGTTCAGTTATTGCAAATTAAGGTGCAGCCGACCTCGTCAAGAAGTACATATGATTCACCAGTGGCCTAGCAATGAAACTCTCAACCTCTTAATTCACAATTACACATCGTTATACTAGGTAATTAAACCAATGGCCAAGTTCAAGCTATAAATGTTTCTTCTTCATTTATATAAACCCGCTGCAAAATATAAATTTTTCATAAAATCACACTTCGGCCCTCATGAAAAGATTTCACTGTTTCAATAATTCTAAATGTGTACCACCCCTAACATTTATACCCAGTCTATGTGGTCCATAGTTATATAGTGTTGCAGTAATCATTTACGTGGTTGCGTTTACTGATTTTTTATTATGATGAGTAAGTTACAAATTTGAAAGCAACTAGATAGTTTAAATCAACATACAAAGTGCACGTGTCTTGACACCAAACTAATACAATAAAAATATCAATACTAGTACACTAATTGAATTCATTAAATGACTAAACCAGATTACAAGACAATGACTTTAACAACCTATTGTTAATTAAACAAGTATTCGTCGGTTAATAAAGAAGCACATGTGACAATGTGTATAACTTCCGACAGCTTGGATATACGCGAAACCGATGAATATAGTTCATGCCTTAGTTCGCTCAACAGACTATGCAACAGTGAGTCTCATAAACAATAGTGAATAAAACATGCGTTCATTGTTTGTGTTTTCATAGGATGTGTACTGCTGCATCTTGGTAAAATTTTCAAGTAATTCACAACTCTATGAACTGACAATTGCGCATTTTGTCAATTAATTTTCCTGCGAACCACCATTAACATATCAAAGATCTAGCGAGATTGTACACGTTCTGTGTCAACACAAATAATGGATTTCATTTTGCCTCACTCTCGCTCACGATATTCCCTGTCAACAATCCGTTAAGCGAACAGTGTCACAAAATACGTCCATCTGTGTTCTTCTATATCCAACCTTTCAACATATATGCATATTATCACCTAGTGTTATATGTACAGTAACTAACAGAGAAAAACACATTGGTTATGGAGATTCTCTGTCACAAAATGTCATTATAATCAATATAATAGTTACTATAATCACCTACATTAACCACCATATTTATCCATTTAAAGTCAATTCCAAATCAACATAACTGTTATTCGAGTAATAAACAAACTCCAATAGTGTGAGATATTGACAACATGATATATGTATAATCAATGACAGTCCTCGTAAGTATTGACAAATGTTGCACTAAAGACTACCATTACATATAATATTCTTGATAATTTTATAATGCTCTGTTGCAATTCACTGTCTGGAGAATGTTGCACCTCAGAATATAAAAAAAATAACACATTAAAATAAGTATGAATTCATTCAAGTATCTTTCTAGGTTATTGGTACACAAATGAAAACTGATTACGATAATATCACATCAACTTGAAATATCTATCGACATGTTCGTCTTTCACACGCTAGTAATGATTATTACTTATTACAAATAGTATCAAAAACTAATTATGTAACACTTCTATGACTTGAATTAGAAATAATGTTTGAATAAAAGAAAAGTTTTATTTTTTTTAAACTTTTAAATATTTTATATATTTTTTTTTGTATTTAAGCATTGTATGCATGCAATTACGCACACTTTCTCACTATACATTTTCGCCGAGAAACCCATAGATTAGACAGATAATGTGTTGTACTCAATATCCGGATATACAAAACTCGCAAAAATTCGCAAGATAGGTTAAAGACAGAATATATGTTCATTTCTGGCGTAGTTATGTCAATAGTGACGCGAATCAGACGCGACAAAGAGTAATCTATATTCCGCCTTGGAAATAAAGAACCACATCGAATTACCAAACTATTCAACTTATTATTTATACTTACTACCTATACATGTTCTAACGTTGAATCTTTTAGTGATTCCTTTATATAGTTGTTGTACATTGTGTTGTGATAAAGAGGCTCGAAACGTCTCGCTATTTTGAATAGTTACTTTTGACAACGAATACTAAATCGCAATACCGATTAGTAAATGAAAAAAGTACATATCTGAACTCTAATGTCAATTAGACATTAGTTTGGCTCGTTTAAATATAAACAGAAATTTATAATGAAGAAGAAATAATAAAATACTTATACTGTTTATTGAAAGCTATATAGTAAATGCGTAATTTTTACAGTTACGCAACGTAATAACTGCTCCCTTTTCTTGACAGCACTATATTTCTGACATAATTGCAATTCACGTCATTTCGTTTTTTCACATAATTTACCACTCAGTAAAACTGCTATCTACAATCATACATCTAGCCGAGTGTTTATCTGGACCCGTCAATGAGAGTGATATTCTTGAACTCAGAGACAATAAAAGGTGATTTCTCAAAAGACCAGGCTATACGAAAATGTAAATACTCAAGTAAAATTGGAGATCAAGAGAAGAAAAAAAATAAAACATTCGAACTACAGGACATACATTTCTATATAAGAAAACTTGAAATCACAATTCTCAGCAATATTACTAAAACACAAAGTACACAATACGATATTACATGTACACAGATATATTACTTTGAATATATTGGTTCAATATATACGTTTTGGTCGCTAAAAAATTACTTATTTGATGATAATTTTAATATTATTTCAAAGTGCATGTACATTTGCATACTTCAACAATCCACCAAATTATTGTTGTGACCCAAACAGCAATTTTAGCAATCCATCATAAACCAGTATGACTATGAACATTTCTAATTGAACCAAAAGTTATATTTATTAATCTAATTATATATCTGTTTATTGTAATGTCTAAAACTATTGTATAATAATCAAATTATATGTATTGCCAATACAAAAATATACAACATGTGAAAGTTATCCTGAAGTATAATCATACAAGACGAATGTAAAATAACATAAACATGGATCATTTGAATTATAAAACTTTTCCCCTAAACTGTAATACTAATCATTATTTTACCTGCATAGGCAAACAATGTTTTCATAGTACTACCTTAACATTGACCTCGAAATTAAAATATCATGTAAAATAAAATATCTTGGGTAGTATGAAATACATTGGATAATATAACAAGATTAAAGACTGAGCTAATGAGTGAGCTAAACTAAACTTGAGTTGTGACAAATAATATTTTTTTATGTTTTTATTGGTTTTTTATTTGATAAATTGTATTTTACTTTCAATAAACTTCAATCCCTCACAAGGTGTTAATTTGAATAATAGGGACAAATTATTGAACATTCAAATACTTCAACAAAACTATTCACTTAACTCGTCACATGACTTGAATAGCACACTGCTGCTGTTTTTCATACATTCATGTAAATGCTATCATACAACCCGGTGACAGTAACCCAATGACACATCTACAGTGTGACATATTTTTGTTTCCTCAAGTAAGTTATCACAAATTGAAATCCATCATAGGATAATATATTTTCAGATCGAGACTAGTCACAAAATATAATAATAAACGGAATTTGAAACTTACAATGCCTAGTCATAAATTTATTTTTAATACAGGAAGTATTCTATGATGACCAGAACAAATATTTAGGGGGAACTCAATTTATATAGAATGGTATGATGGTCAGACTGAATATCGAGGGGAATTCAATTTGGAAATCTTTACTTACTTACTTTAATTACTCATCTTTCAATATAATTACTATGTCAAGTATTGACTTAGAGATACACAAGCTGCAAGTACACTGCAATGAAAGCTTGACAAGCAATATAACCACCAACACCTCATTTCAGGTATATGTCACCAATTCAGTGGGCAATTTTAGTTTTACCCATCATTCCAGGCATGTTGATAAGCAAGACTTCAAAACACTCATTACAATAGCCAAAACATTTTGGATTACCATAATGGTCACAAGGTTCATAACGACAAGTTGGGCGAGTATCTCCAGGCACTACCACCAGTTCTTTGTGTTTTGGGGTGAATTTGGTGTATTCAGGGGCTTGCTGGATATCTCTATACACATGATAACAATGATCACACAACCCATCCAGTATATTTGGATTGCCTTCATAATGACAACCAGGTGTAACACATTTTCTGGGATGATATGGTTCCCCCCATTGTTCATCATAAATTCTACCCATTCCATTTTGGGGATTATTCTCAGCAGGGAATTGTTGATGGTACATTGCAGATCTTCCAGATTTCAGCATCTCAGCCTCTCTGCGGAAACACTGGGAACAGAGATTGTTTGTTGCTGGGCTTCCATACATTTCACATCCTGTTTCACACAAACAAATCATAAAAAGATAAGCAGAGAATTTTTGTGTATAATATAATAAAATACAACATTTATATTCCATCAGAAAATCAAGTAAATTGTCTATGAGGTAAAACAAGACAGATATTTGAACACATTTTACTACTTCTTAAAGGGGCACCTTCCAGTTAAGCTTAATTTCACAACAAATTTACTTTCTGGATTAAAATAACAATGGATAACAAAAGATAGATTAACATTGTAAACAACATAAACAATAGTGTCCCATGATTCTTTGGTGCAATCCATGGGATTGAGCGGTTCCCCTTTAATTGTCAAAACAAATACCATTAGTCGATCTTTAATCAAACAAAGAATGCTGTCCATTGATAGAATAGTTACTTACCCCATGCAGCCTGACATTTCTGTTTGCGTGGTTGAGGTGGACGAACTTCTCCTGATGGTGATGATGAAAGAAGGAAACACTGTGTTAATCATCATATTAAGAAAATAGATATATTATTCAAAACATAATGGAATACATTAACAAGTCATTGTCAATGACACGTCCCCGTTCCGTTCATATTTGAGTGACATATACATTCGAAGCAGATCATGACCGAAATGCACCTGCATATGTACAACACATTGTACTAAATCCATCCATTCATGACTGAGACCTGGTTCCGGAATTGTGAAAATACGTGATTTTGATGCATTTTCGACCTTAAAATGGCCATCATTTAGCTATTGTTAAGCGGATCATGAAACAAATGCACATATCTATTTGTGACATGATGTACCATGTGTGTGTAGTTTGAACTTGATCAATCCAG